TAATGGAATATTAAAATGCCTTGAGAAACAATTAAAACAAAAAATCCAGAGAAGGATGGAAACTTGTATGAACTAGTAGTGCAGGATAAAGTAAAACCGAACAAGGAAAAAATATACCCAACAATGTGTACGTAAAGATCAAGGAGAACAAAAAATAAACACTCAAATTATGATTAATATTAGTCCTGAAGAAATAAGAAAATGCATCTTAACTAATATGAGTGCATATACTCAGAGACTTGTTTGATGTGTTCATCAATTGTGATAGCTGATTTCCCCTTTCTTTTTTATTTTTTGTTATAGGGACGGCTCTCTGGGTAGGAGAGAAGTGATATATTTTTTAATGTAGTTAATATAGACAGCAAAACAGATTTAAAAAATTTTTTTAACATTTGTAAAGCACCAAACCACCCCTCATCCCAAAAGAGTTAAATTAATGATGGCACTGGTAACTTTCCATCCAATGGATTCAAGGAAAGTACTTATTTCAATATACAAATTGGCTTCAATAGCCCCATGATCAGCTAAAAAAGATTCTCCACTATAAAGTGGCTAAACACCCCACCCAACTTTGTACTACCTCAAATGGGATCACAGAACAGCTTACTGACATAGACTCAAAGAACTTTTAGATCTGGGAAGTATCTTAGAGACCTATAGTGGGAAGAAAATGAGGTCCAGTTTGTCAAGAATAATCTAAAAGCTTTAAAGTGGCCAATGCACTCCAGCATTTCATCAGGCATATCCTCTCTCCCCATAACCTAGTTGGCTAGTTAGTTAATCCTCATCTATGCTTAAATGAGTTTACTACTCTTTGTATGTAACCAAGTAAAAAAATCCTTGCTGATTCCCATCTCAGAAGCAAGGATTATTAGACATTTGTCCAAGGATTAAATTGACAGGAGACTAGGGTAATCTATAGCTCTGGGACACTTCACTGAGAGACTCAGTAGACCATTAAAGGACTCTAAGCACTTTGTTGAGTAAAATTATCTGTTACAGTATAAAATGTCATTTAATACATGAATTACTGAATGTAATTCAAGATAAACTTCTACTGTGGATTTAAAAAGGAAAAGAAAATATCTGTATTTTATATAATTAAAATATCTGAATCTTTAAACACATACTTATTGTCACATTTAGTTACTCAAGAATACTAATAGTAAAATATTTTTTTCATTTCCACTAGTTTTAGTGTTGTTTCTTTTTCTAAATTAACCTCTTGTCTTACATTTATGAAGTTAATTTTTTGAACCCAAGCTTAAGACTCTATATAAATACCTATTACATTTCATCTTACTGGATCGAGTACCTTGTCAACAACTTTTTGAATCAGAACTCTATTATGTAGCATATTAATTATCACTTGCAATGTTACTTGACCTACAAATTTGATAAGCAGGTAATCAGATGCCCTTATCTAAATCACTGATAAAAATCTTAAACAGCAGAGGTAAACACAGATCCCTACAGGTCATTCCATTAAAGATCTTCCAAGCCAACATCAAACCATTAAAGATGTTTGGCCAACCAGTCTGAATCCACCTAATTATATTTGACCTAGTCCACATTCCTTCATGTCTTACCTGGCTCACTTGTCTTTTTCACAAAAATGGTATGAGATCTTATCAAATGCTTTTGCTAAAATTGAAATACTATTTCTACACCATTCCCTTGGTCTACCATTCTTGTAACCCAGTCAAAAATGAAAGTAAGGCCATGACCTGCTCTTGATGAAGCTATGCTGATTCTTTCTGACTGCTATTTCCTTTTCTAGATAATCATTAACACAGAAATCAGGACATTGTCCTTTCTCCATTACTGCAGTACTTCTCCTATTCTTCATCTTCAGAGGCAGTGGCTCTGAATTCCTATCTGACAATTCTTTCAGTACCCTAGGTTGTACACAATTCATATGGACCAGATGTGCTTCAACACTTGAACTTCACCTTGGCTCTCTAATAACTTGAGAATGAATTATCTATTAGCTATTTTTGTTCTGTCCTTTGCAATCTAAAAATCACCCCTATTGGCAGAGAAAACAAAAGTAATATAAGAGGTGAGTTACCTTGCATTCTCATCACTCACCCCTATCATAGCCACATCTGCTCTAGGCTGGGGTATTGTCCTATCCTTTCTGTGATCTTCAGGTTTTTCCTGTAACAGCTACTAACACTTTTCTATTGTCCTTAGCTTTCCTCACCAGACCAAGTTCATTAACATTATCACCATTCCTGACACTATTTGTACATCTTTGTGTGCTTTTGCATTCATACATCATTATGTGTCCTTGCTTCTATATTCTGTACCTATCTTTTTAAAATCTATGCCGGTAAATTCCTAGTGCATCCACATCAATCTCTTTTTAGACAACTTCCCCTTTTCCTAATCACCACAACTGTTTTGCCTTTGTGTCCTGAGGATACCCACCCTTCCTAGACTGAATTTCTCTTTAAAATTTTAGGTTAAAGGACCCCATTTTTTCTCTCTGAAACCTATTTTCTCTCTAAAATTCCAGGGTGTTTGTCACAATTTGTGTAGCTTTGCTTTCCTTATCGATCACAAATTCTAAAATGCAAGGTCACTTCCTTCTAAGATTTCTGACACTACAATCCCAGCAAGGCTCCCTGACTGAATCCAGGACTCTTTCCACTTTACCATACCACTTTAATTCATACTTCTGTCAAGTCAGCAGCAAGTGTTCAGCAAAGAGCAACACCCATTAGAGATTGCATATAGGAGAGACTATAGTTCTGGTAGAGACTACAAGGCACTCAAGACCAGTGGAGTAGGGCAATGACAATGCCCTGGCCACAGGTATTCCCTATATGTCCCACTATGAAGTCAATCAACAAGCATTTATTAAACACCTATGTGCCAAGAGCTCTTCCAGACTTCTAGACCCAGAGGATGCAAAGGAAAGAAAAAAAGTCTCTGTATTCAAGAAGCTTACATTCTATCAAGGGGAGAAAACATACAAGTAAAACCAGAATAAATAAAAATTAAATACAAGATAGTTTAGGAAAAGAGGGAATTAGCAGTGGGGGACAGAAGGGAAATAAGGAGAACTATCACATAAAGGTGGTACTTAAGCTGAGTTGTGAAGGAAGAAAGAATTCTACAACTCAGGTGAGCAGGGACTACATTCCAGGCATGAATAACAGCCTATTAAAAGGTACAGACATGAGAGATTAAATGTCTGAGTAACAGCAAAAGAAAGTCAGTTTGACGGAACCATGGAGTTTATGAAGGAAAATAATAGGTAAGCTTAGAAACATAGGCTGGTTGGTGTCAGGCTGTGAAATGCTTTAAATGTCAGTTTTTATTTGATCCTTTAAGTATTTTTGAGAGAGAAAATCAGACCTGTGCTTCAGAAAAATTAGTTTGGCAGCTATGTGGAGGATAGGTTCAATAAAGGAGACCACACAGGAAGTTAGTGGAATAGTTCAGGGGAGAGACAACAAGGGCCTAAACTAGGACAGTTGCTATGTGAACTGAGAGAAGGGGAGAGATATGAGAGAAGTTGTGGAAGTAGAAATCAAAAAGACTTGGATGATCAGATATTTAAGAGTGAGGAGAGGAGAAGGCAACTCCTCCAATACACAAGCCTGGGAGGTGGGAAAAATGGTTCAAGAGTTTCAAAATAAAGGAAATTTGTTAATGACAAATACTTCTCATAGTGTACACAGGCACTTATAAAAGTGTATGCCTCAGTTTCATGGGGGTAAAAATATTTTATTGCCACTTTTCTTATGGTGTTATTTCATGAAATGTCTGAACTTTTCTGGGCCTCAGTTTGTCTTCAGTGAACTGAAGAGGGGGAGGGGGTGTGTGGAGGATGAGGTTGGACTAGATGTTCAGAGGTCTATTCCAACTCTAGAGCTATGATTCTATGAAGTATGAGATAAACTCCAAAATCCTTTCCAGCTCTAAATATACAAACTTCAGAATTTTTTATAAATTCCTCTTTTATAAACTGTATTTATAATTTTAAAAGATGTACTTTCAAATTGCCTTATTTTTCTAAAATCATCTACTATTGTTCTTAATTCTTAAATCAAAGCACTTCATAACTATCATTTCTCATGCAGTTAAGTCTTCAGATTTCAACCTGTGTCAGGTTTTAGGGGGAAAAAAATTAATTTTTTTCCTGGTTTTATTCTCCTTTGCAGAAGTTGCAAGAAACTTTAAAAACAAAATAAATCAGTCTTCTAAAGTGTGTTGATATTTTGATCTGATTACTAGATTAAAAATCTGTTAGATAATTTATGTATTTCTAAAAAATATATCATGGAGATTTCAGTCCATACAACTAAGCATTACCTAATTAATGTTTTATATAAAAATCAAATCCACTTTAACAGTGAAAACTGTCCCAACCTTCCCTTCCCTACCCTCCAAATCACTATTTTCTTTAAAGTCTTCAAATAAGGTAATATATAATTCTTTTCAGTTTTCTCTTTGAAAATTGTCCATTTTCCCTCAAACCTTGATAACACAACACATGGCCTCACATGCTCTCCAAATTGCTGCTGAAATCCATTTCTTGATCACTGGCTTCAAATGAATCTTTTATTAAGCTCTCACATTAGCCCAACTCTTCTCTATGTGCTTTATATATGCGACCTTCTCCCTTTATCCTAGTCCGTTCCCAACACCAGTTTCTCTACCTGTCATTGTTCATGTATGTGAAGAGGAAAAGGAGAAATGGAAGATAGCATGAAACTATGTGAAGACACATAACAAAAATGTAAAATTTTCAAACGAATCCTGAACGATATAAAACTTAAAGACTTTTTTCGATAACATCCAGTTCCCATACCATCTACGGAAATCCCAACATTTCCAGTCCATTACATTCCAGCATGTCTGAATATATGTGGGAAGAATACGCCACAAGAGCAACTTCAGCAACAAACTATAAAGGAAAAAATGTCAGCTCGGAATTTAAGTACTCACAATGGCGCTTGATTAATTTATACAAAAAGAAGACTTACGTCAAGCTCAAAAAACAGGTCTCTCTCTTTACTTGCTATCTCATAATCTGCTCGAAGGGCCAAATCATGAATTTTTGTACATTCTCCTAAGTCCATTCGCTGTGGAAGGAAAAAAAGGAACACATCAATGCATGAAACTTTACCTGCTGTACAAAGCAATTAAGAAGGGCTAGCATATTTCATTATTCATTTGATTTATAAAGGTTTTCAAATACCAAAGCCAACTTTAGAAAATTAAGAAAAAGGTTATTATTGAAAAGTTTTGTTTCTCTTAATACTCCGGGCTTTATGAAGTTTTAAAATGTTACTTTAACAGCTAACCAGGGTCAGGTTGATGTTAGTCCCATGATAGTAAGGGATTATGACAATGAAAAACTATGACATAATTAGCTTACCTTTGCCAATTTTATTCTGCCATCTGTCATGTCAAATTCATTCTGTCATCTGTCAAATGGCTAGCGCATTTGACCAATCTCAAAAAATTCACATGGTAGGAAGTAGTACGATAAAAGGGGAAAGCAATGAGGAACCAAGGGATTCCTGCATTGGAAAAGTGTTCAGAAGACATCCAGTTCAACTACATTCCAAGGCATCAATTCTTTTTACAACATCCCTGCCAACTGGTCATCTAATTTCTGCCTGAAGACTTCAAGACTTCTAGTGATAGGGAGCTCACTATAGATTAAAACAGCCCATTCCATTTTCAGACAGGTCTCGATATTAGGAAGTTTTCTCTCCTGATTAATCAAAATCTACCTTACAATCCTGTGAGGCCAAGCTAACAAGTCTATAAAAGCAGACAAAAAGGCTAGTCAGGATGACCAGAGTTTGATCAACTTTCTAAGTTTCCATATAAACAAAAACAATATTCAAAGTCGGTCCTAAAACCTTCTAACTGTAACCATTAATTACTACTGATGGTGATAAATGCACAAGTTATAGAGGCAGAGAGAAGGAAGAGGTAGTCAAGGCAAAGGTAGAAGCAAAAATAGTACATGGGAATTGGGGGTTATATGAGGTTTTCTAAATCTAAAAGAAATACAAACAGCTGTATCAAACTGGGTCTCAGGAGCTCTGGATCTCAGAAACTCTGAGGACTTTGTGAATAATTCCTGACATTTCTGTAACACTTTAAAGTGCTTTCCTCACAACCCTATGAAGTAAGTGGTACAAGTGATGCTTACCAGCTGTGTAATCATGGGCAAATCCCAGCCAATGCAGAGAATCTGTTACAAATGACTATGCCTATTTACAAAACTGGTGTTTTTTTTAATTAGGAGGAATGAGAAAGATGATGAATAAATGCATTTTAATTGAAAAACAAAAGTCACAACACCTCCCTAGGCTTCAGTTCCCTCATTTGTACAATGAGGCTGGACTATAGCCTTAAGGCCCCTTCTAGTTCTAGATCTTTAATCCCCATTTTAAAGATGATTAAACTGAGGCTTTCCGAGATTAACTGACTTGTTTGTTATATAACTAGAATATGTCTGAAACAGGATTTGAACTCAAGTATCTTGCCTCCAAATCCCACTTCTATCATATCACACTATGTCAAAAAGTGAGTTTCAGCATATTATTTATCTACACAGCAGCCCTTCAGAGAAAAAAAAGAAAAAGCATTCCTCTTCTCCTACCTTGCAGGGTTATTGCGACAACTAAAGACATCATCTGTATGCTACTTTGCCATCTGGAAACATTAAGGGTTTGTAGCAGTACTGGAGGAGAAAGCAGAAGCTAACTGGCATGTGCAAGCTACCACGCTTATGAGGAAATAGCTAGAGCTGTTATGGTCAAAATTCCTCCCCCACAATCCTGATGCTCCCCAAACCTCCTACACCAACTATCAGTTACCCAAGTTTGAGCATCCAAGTTCTGGTCTCTGGACTTCTGGGAAACTAGGCAACTAGAAATGACCTGGAGAAACAGAAAAGATGTCAAAAAAAGCCTCGTTCCCACTTATTCTATCTACACCTCTAGTCTCTGAATTTCAGAGTTGGTTTTGTTTTGTTTTTTGCTTTTTGGTGAGGCAATTGGGGTTAAGTGACTTGCCCAGGGTCACACAGCTAGTAAGTGTCAAGTGTTTGGTCTGAGGCCGCATTTGAATTTCAGAGTTCTAACAACTACTGTTTGAATGGGTAATTGGAAAAACTGCTTTATCTCTTCCAATAATTGTAAAATCATAAACTAAGAACTGAAACCTCAGAGGTCACCTACTCCAATTTACCAAAAGTCACAGATAGGAAGTGATAGAGCTGAGATTCAATCCCAGTTAAAGAGGCAGTGGATGAGCGGATCAAGTTCTACACTATACAGGAAAGTTGGTTTAAGTTCCATCTCTGACTCTTAAGTAGCTGTTCAGTTACAGATAAGTCACTTAAGTCTTTCTAAACTTCAGTTTCCTCTTGTATAGAATGGAGATAATACCAGTAGTACCAACTTTATAAGGTCATTATGAGGCTAAAATGAAAAAGGATACATAAATTACGAACTTTAAAATCCTTTAAAATATATATATATATGTATCAGTTATTATTAGCTCCAGCACTGTTTACAGAATACCACACAGTCTCCCTCTATGATATTTGCTTCTGGGCAAGTTTTTCCCTTTTTCTTTTGCCATTAAACATCAATGCCCATTTAAAAAAGAAAAAAAACTTTATTTCCTGATGAGGATGTAACTCCCTCCCCTTTAAGCAAATCCGACTGACAAAGCAACAACCATATCTGACAACATACGCAAGACTGTGCACTCAATTTCTCATCCCCTTCGTAGCAAGAGGAGGGTTATATTTCTTCCTCTGTTCTCTGCAACCAAGATTATTCACTGCAGGCAGTAGCTTCAGTTTTTTCATCATTAGAAGGACTTTTGATTTCTGCAGAATCTTGGAGTCAAGATGTATATAGCAGGAGAACAAGAGAGCACAAGTGAGATAGAAGCAGAGAGAAAAAGAATAATATTCCAGCCAGCTTGGAAATCAAGCAGGTAAAGCTTCAAAATAATTTTAAATGGGCCTGCTAGGGACTCTTTCTCCTCCCATTCCTGCACAAAAATCTCAGTAAGAGCAAGCCTCATTTGGATGCTTCTATATGCTAATGTCAAAAGGGAGAGAGTGAGGTCAATCAACTAATCAAGACAAAATATTTAGGAACTGTGGGTATAAACAAATACAAAGACCTTGACTAAAGAAGCTTACATTCTATCTACAAAGGCAACATACACACACACACACACACACACACACACACACACACACACACAAAATAATTTGAGAGGAAGGCACTAGCATATTGTGGGGAGGGGAAAGAGGATCAGGAAAGGCTTCTTGTAGAAGGTGCTTGTGATGTGCTTTGAAGGATAGAATGAACCTAAAAAAAAAGAGGTGAAAAGAGAATATTTCAACCATGGGTGATAGCCAGTAGAAAGGTATGATAAGAGGGCCAATTTGACTGGACCACAGAGGGTGTGACGAGAAGTAATGTATATAGGCTGGAGGGATAGGTTTGAGACCAGGTTTGTAAAGGATTTTAAATGCCAAAGAGAGCTTATATTTGATCCTAAAGGCATTAGGAAGCTGCTAGAGTTTGAACAGAGGAATGACACGGGCTGACCTAAGCTTTTAAGAAAATAACTCTGGCAGCCATGTGGGAGGGTGAATTAAAAGAGAATTTTAAACAGGGAGACCAACTAGAAAGGAACAGCAATAGTTCAAGGGCCTACTGTGGTGGCTGTGGGAGAGAGGTGAGAAAGATGGAGGGAGAATTAGCAAGATTTGGCAACTGACTGGAATGTGGGTAAAGAGTAAGGAGTCAAGGAAGTCAAGTTCAAGGAGAGCAGAAGATAAAAAAGAAGGGTGGGTTTGAGGATAAAGATGAGTTCTCTTGTGGACACGCTTATTCTGAGATGCCTTAGGCAATGCAGGACTGAAGCAGAGAAGGGAGGCTAGGGATGGATATATGTCTGAGAATCATCTGCAGAGATGATAATTAGACCCATGGGAACTGACAAGATCACAGAGAGAATGTATAAAGAGCTCAGGAAAGAGCCTTGAAGTAAACCAACTGTTAGGCGGTACCAGATGGAAAACAAGACTGAAAAAGAGCAGATAAGTAGAAGGAGAAGCAGCATAGTGCAGTGTCATGAAGACACCAAAAGGATAAAGTACCCAGGATGAGAGTGTGGCTAATAGTGTCAAAAAGTAATAGCTAGCATTTACATAGTGCTTTGAGATTTGCAAAATACTTAAAAATATCACCTCATGTTATCCTTTCAACAACCCAGTAAGGCAAGTGCTATTGTTACCCATTTTACAGATGAGGAAACTGAAGCATACCAAAGCTAAGTGATTTACCCAGGGTAAAACAACTAGTAGGTGTCTGAGGTTGAATTTGAACTCCTGCCTCCAAGGGCCACTGTTCTATTTATGGAACTACCTGGCTGCTGTCCTACGGGCAGATCAAAAAAGATGATGACTGAAATAAGGTTATTGGATTTGACAACTATAATAGGCTATAAAGAGTTGAGAAGCAAATGAGAGGAGAGTAGACAGGGTAGAGTGTTTTTTCTAGGAATTTGAATGTCTAGAAGAAGGACAGAAAAATAGCTTGAGGGGATGGCAGGGTCTAGTGAAGATTTTTTAAGGACTGAGGTGAACTATAAACAACATGGAAGGGAAGGAACCAGCAGATAAGGAGAGACTGAAGAAGGGGTGAGGATATAATTGTGGGAGCAATGTCGCAGAAGCGATAGGAAAAGATGGAATCAAAGGCCCATCATGACCCTGATGAAGAGGGCCACCTCTTCAGAGACTAAAGAACAAAGGATGATGTAAAGAATCATTAACTGTACAGAAGAGAAAAACAGAAAGCTCACTGTAAATGACCTATACTTCTCAGTAATGCCTGAGTTGATGTCCTTAGTTGAGAAAAAGGAAGAAGGGGGAGCAGTATGGAAGACCTGGGAGAGAAATTTGAAAAGCCACCGTGACTACTCAGCTGCAGTGAGGCAGTCAAGAACATAAATCTGTGGTGGCCCCAGCATGACTTCCTCCAGCTCTGTTTGGTAGCATGTGAGCAGGAACAGAGGAAGCAGATGGTGA